CCAATTCATCAAGGATTGACACCCAAAACTGGTTGCATCATCTCGATGGGACAACCCAACTCAATGAAGATGGAGACCCCAAACCAGTTGCATCCTCCAGATGGGACAACCCAACTCAACAAGGATTGAGACCCAAAACCAGTTGCATCGTCTTGATGGGTCAACCCACCTCAGTGAAGTTGGAGACCCCAAAGCAGTTGCATCATCTTGATGGATCAACCCAATTCATCAAGGATTGACACCCAAAACCGGTTGCATCCTCCAGATGGGACAACCCAACTCAATGAAGATGGAGACCCCAAACCAGTTGCATCCTCCAGATGGGACAACCCAACTCATCAAGGATTGAGGCCACCAACCAGTGACATCATCTCGATGGGACAACCCAACTCAATGAAGATGGAGACCCCAAACCAGCTGCATCCTCCAGATGGGACAACCCAACTCATCAAGGATTGAGACCCAAAACTGGTTACATTGTCTTGATGGGTCAACCCACCTCAGTGAAGATGGAGACCCCAAAACCAGTTGCATCCTCCAGATGGGACAACCCAACTCATTGATGGTTGAAGCCCCAAACCAGTTGCATCATCTTGATGGGACAACCCACCTCAGTGAAGATGGAGACCCCAAACCAGCTGCATCCTCCAGATGGGACACCCCAACTCGTTGAAGACTGAAGCCACCAACCATCTGCTTCATCCAGGTGGGACAACCCATCCCACAAACCTTCTTCCACCTCCTTTTCCACCCCTGTTCCTACCCGCTTTCCACCCAAAACTCTTGCCCTTGGGCCCTCCTCGGCCAACCTCACCTTGACGTAACGTCCCCGATGGAGGCAACCACACTTCTCCAGGGACACGCAGGTCTCCCCGTCGAAGAGGAACCCGTCGTCGCACTGGCAGCCCTCGAAGCACTTCCAGCTGCAGGGGGTGGGCACCCAGAGGCTGGCGCAGGTGAAGTCGCACGTGCGGGTGCAGAGCTCGTAGTGGCTGTGGGGCGGGCAGGGGAGAGCTGGGGGGGGGCGGAGAAAATAGGGAGAAAACAGAAAAATAGAGGGGAAAAAAATCAATTATTAGCCCCCAAAAATCGTCCTGGATCCAACGGGAAGGCCCTAGAGATGTGGGGTGGGGAAACCCCCCCAAAATAGGGAAAAACTCAGTTTTTCACCCCAAAAAAATCATCCTGGATCTAACGGGGCAGCCCTAGAGATGTGGGGTGGGGAAAACCCCACTAAAAAACATCACTAACCCTCAAAATAGGGAAAAACTCAGTTTTTACCCCCCCAGAAATTCATCCTGGATCCAATGGGGCAGCCCTAGAGATGTGGGGTGAGGAAAACCCCATTATTACCCCCCAAAATAGGGAAAACCCCAATTATTTCTCCCAAAATAGGGAAAACCCCAATTATTTCTCCCAAAATAGGGAAAACCCCAATTATTTCTCCCAAAATAGGGAAAACCCCAATTATTTCTCCCAAAATAGGGAAAACCCCAATTATTTCTCCCAAAATAGGGAAAACCCCAATTATTTCTCCCAAAATAGGGAAAACCCCAATTATTTCTCCCAAAATAGGGAAAACCCCAATTATTTCTCCCAAAATAGGGAAAACCCCAATTATTTCTCCCAAAATAGGGAAAACCCCAATTATTTCTCCCAAAATAGGGAAAACCCCAATTATTTCTCCCAAAATAGGGAAAACCCCAATTATTTCTCCCAAAATAGGGAAAACCCCAATTATTTCTCCCAAAATAGGGAAAACCCCAATTATTTCTCCCAAAATAGGGAAAAAACCAATTATTTCTCCCAAAATAGGGAAAACCCCAATTATTTCTCCCAAAATAGGGAAAAAACCAATTATTTCTCCCAAAATAGGGAAAACCCCAATTATTTCTCCCAAAATAGGGAAAAAACCAATTATTTCTCCCAAAATAGGGAAAACCCCAATTATTTCTCCCAAAATAGGGAAAACCCCAATTATTTCTCCCAAAATAGGGAAAACCCCAATTATTTCTCCCAAAATAGGGAAAACCCCAATTATTTCTCCCAAAATAGGGAAAACCCCAATTATTTCTCCCAAAATAGGGAAAACCCCAATTATTTCTCCCAAAATAGGGAAAACCCCAATTATTTCTCCCAAAATAGGGAAAACCCCAATTATTTCTCCCAAAATAGGGAAAACCCCAATTATTTCTCCCAAAATAGGGAAAACCCCAATTATTTCTCCCAAAATAGGGAAAACCCCAATTATTTCTCCCAAAATAGGGAAAACCCCAATTATTTCTCCCAAAATAGGGAAAACCCCAATTATTTCTCCCAAAATAGGGAAAACCCCAATTATTTCTCCCAAAATAGGGAAAACCCCAATTATTTCTCCCAAAATAGGGAAAACCCCAATTATTTCTCCCAAAATAGGGAAAACCCCAATTATTTCTCCCAAAATAGGGAAAACCCCAATTATTTCTCCCAAAATAGGGAAAACCCCAATTATTTCTCCCAAAATAGGGAAAACCCCAATTATTTCTCCCAAAATAGGGAAAACCCCAATTATTTCTCCCAAAATAGGGAAAACCCCAATTATTTCTCCCAAAATAGGGAAAACCATGTCGGTCTTGTGACCCCCGTGTGTGCCTTACAGCCCATGTGTTGGTCTTCTGACCCCCATGTTGGCCTTCTGACCCATGTGATGACCTCCATGTTGGTGTGATGACCCCCATGTTGGTGTGATGACCTCCATGTTGGCCTTCTGACCCATGTGATGACCTCCATGTTGGCCTTCTGACCCACATGTCGGTCTTGTGACCCCCGTGTGTGCCTTAGAGCCCATGTGTTGGTCTTCTGACCCCCATGTTGGCCTTCTGACCCATGTGATGACCTCCATGTTGGTCTTCTGACCCACATGTCGGTCTTGTGACCCCCGTGTGTGCCTTACAGCCCACGTGTTGGTCTTGTGACCCCCATGTTGGCCTTCTGACCCATGTGATGACCCCCATGTTGGCCTTCTGACCCATGTGATGACCTCCATGTTGGTCTTCTGACCCCCATGTTGGTCTTCTGACCCATGTGATGACCTCCATGTTGGTCTTCTGACCCACATGTCGGTCTTGTTGGTCTCGGACCCACGCGTTGGCCTTGCCACCCACGTGCTGACCCACCCAACGCCGGTGGGAGGTGGCCCTGGATGGTCTTTAAGGTCCCTTCCCGCCCCAAACTCGCTGCGATTGGACGATTTTAGGAAACCGGAAGGGGGAAAACGGAGACTTACGGCAAAACTGGGCCGTTCTCCAGTGGCCGATGGTGGCCCCGGTGGCCTGGCAGGCGGTGGCGTAGGCCTGGAGGCTGTGACACAGGACCTGGGTGGCCTCCTCGCCGGCGGCGCAGACGTCGTGGAGACACTGCTCCAAATACTCCTCGGGGTTGACCCGCAGGTGACAAGGCCCGAAAGGTCCTTGGGGGTCCCGGATGAGGTGGCAAGAATCGGCGGCGGCCCCGGTGGCCACGCAGGGCGGGCAGTGGTCGCCCTCACAACCCTCGGGGGTGGTGGTGGTGGAGATGGTGGTGGTGGTGGCCACCTCCGGGCAACCTCCTTCCTCCTTCGGCACCTTCCAGGAGGCCACGAATTCTTGGGCGCCGGGGGCCGGGGTGCCGTCGGGCAAGCGGAAGTCGTCGTCGGGGTCGCCGTTGTAGTTGCCCCCGAGGCCGCAGAGGTGGCCCCGGTAGCCCAAGGGGACGGTGAGGAGGAGGTAGGTGGCCACGTTGTAGAGGAGCCGGAGGCCGGGCCCCGTTTGGAGGACGATGTTGGTCCCTTCTTGCCCCACGCGGAGTTGCCCGTCCGGGGTGGCCAGGGGCAACGTGTGACGCTCCCCGTTCACCTGGGGGGTTTTGCACACGCGTGTGCGCGGGGTGGGGGGGGTGAGTGGGAGG